CTAGGGCGGCCAAGGCGTCTGCCTGGGCGTTCTCCGCTCGAGGAATTCTAGTCAAGGCGAATTGATCGAACTTCTGAGTTAGATCTTTTACCAAGATCAGCCACGCTTCCATTCTTTCGTCCCTTGTTTCGTATTCTCCGCTGAATTGACTAGCCACTAGCTGGGAGTCGCAGTATGCGTGAAGATTACGAATCTTTAGTCCGTGAGCTAGTCTTAGTCCCGCGATCAAGGCCTCATACTCGGCTTCGTTGTTCGAAGCGTGGAAAATTAATCGGAATGACTGTTCCAATACTTCTCCCATCGAGGATGCAAGTCGGATGCCGATTCCAGAGCCTTGTTTGAAAGAACTTGTATGAAAGCTTTTATTAAATAAAGAATCGACAACTGTTATAAGAAGAATTGAAGAACTTAGAGGTCGAAACGTTCTAAGGATCTGGATTGCTATTCTAACGCTAAGTCCTAAATTCCTAAGCTAACAGCCGTCTTTTTAGGTCTGAATTTTGTCCCCCTTCTCTTCCCTATGCCTCTGGCTTATACACTNAACTGTTATAAGAAGAATTGAAGAACTTAGAGGTCGAAACGTTCTAAGGATCTGGATTGCTATTCTAACGCTAAGTCCTAAATTCCTAAGCTAACAGCCGTCTTTTTAGGTCTGAATTTTGTCCCCCTTCTCTTCCCTATGCCTCTGGCTTATACACTCCTTTCCCAAGCGGCTTATTCTTTCCATTTTGCCCGGATTCAAGTTTATCGGGAAACTTCCTTTTTTTCTCCATCCTTCCTTTCTTCCCGCGGAAATCTTCTATTTATCTTCAAACTTGCCTTTTATTTCCCTTTTGCGACTAAACCGTCAAAACGTTATCGGATCTTCGGGTTGATTTCGTTAATATCGCAAGATGGGTTTTTATCGTGTTTTAGGACCTTTCGGGCCGTTTTACGATAAAAACCGTTTGACGACTTTAACGAGACCGTTTCCTGATCCGATGCCGTTTTTTACGATCTTCTCGATAAAAATGCGTTTTTTATAATATTAAAGAAAAATCTAGAATAAATCGTATAGTTTAGGCGATGTTCGGTGTCTTGCTTAACCGTTACCGTTTTATACGATTTCTTAGAGTTCTTTTCGGGAAAACGGAGTTTTACGGTTTTTATCCTACAACTTGAACGATAAGTCGGTTCGAGACGAAACGAGAGACATTTCAGCCGTGGTTCAGAATGCGACCATGTCGGAGGGCGTAAGTTTCGAATCGGGGATACGGGAGATCAAGGCTCGGGATGATCGGTCCAGCGTACGGAGAATCGAGTGGTCCGGTCTAGCTGTCCGAGGAGCTTGTAGTTCGCCTGCTGGCAAACTAAGACAGCTCGGCTTAGTTCGCCTGCAGGCGAACTAGTCAGGGTATTCCTAGTTCGCCTGCTGGCGAACTAGCGGAGTGGCTCCTAGTTCGCGTTTTGCGGCGGTTTCGGTTTTTTGCGGTTTTGTAAAACGATTCTCGAGTTTTATAAAACGGTTCTTCGAGTTTTATAAAACGATTCTCGAGTTTTATAAAACGATTCTTGAGTTTTATAAAACGGTTCTTCAGTTTTATAAAACGATCATAGAGTTTTATAAAACGGTTCTTCAGTTTTATAAAACGATTCTCGAGTTTTATAAAATGGTTCTTCGAGTTTTTATAAAACGATCGTCGAGTTTTATAAAACGATTCTCGAGTTTTAATAAATGACTTTTGCGGAAAGTAATGATTCCAGAAGTTATCGTAGACGTTGATTTCGAGATTATGGTTTTTTACACCAACAGAAGAATCAGATTCCGGCTTTTACTTGGAGGAAATTGCACAACCAGATTCACTACTAAGGGATTCATTGTTTATGATTGCGGCTGAACAGAATGGAGAAGCACAAGTGTTGTGTATGCACGTGCCTGATCAAGAAAAGCAAGAACAAAAAGTGCTTGGAGAGTCATCAACAACTCCTGAATTGGCGCATGCTTTGATTGATCAAGGTGAAAGCTTTCAGTCTTTAACTTGGGGGTTCCTAACCAGGTTTATTTTATACTTCCGTTCAGTTTAATGGAGCATCTGAGAGTTGTTACACACATTATATTCAGGCAAATACTCTTTAAACAATTCAACTCATGCATCCATACAAACTTGGGTAAGTTATAGTCGGTTTTGATATTCATCATTCTAGCTGACAATGATAATTTAGAAATACCTTCTCAACAACCTTCATTAATTGGCTGATTTGCGGCGGCTAACATGTCATAAAATCTTTTGGCTTCCAAATTAGGCCCCTCTACATTTTCTATTGCTACCTCTACATTTTCTGCTACTTCTGCAGTAATTACTGAGTTTGTTTCACGAAATGCATCAGTAACAATATCATGCATCCTATCGTGATCTACCACCTGATTCTCCTGAAGGTAACTTTCCGAAGGCAAATGGTGTTCTCTATTACGAACATTTTCAAAATGATTACTACTACTAGCTTCATTTCTACTATCACCTTCTCCCTGATGAAACCAAATGTAGTAATGTGGAGTAAATCATCTATTCACTATATGTTTCCAAACTGTTTCACTAAGAGCGAATTTGGTATTCTTGCACTTACAACAGAGACAGAACATTTTACATGTTTCCTGTGTGAGAGACGTGTTTCCGGCCTGGTACATGAATATTTATGTCCCGTTGAGGAACTCGTTTGTCACCTTTCCCTCCGAATCTTTATGTGGATACATCCAACTTCAAAGCTCATAAATATCTCGTGACATTTTTTTTACTCAAACTTGTTTCGTGTTTTTTTTTTGGTGTATCTAAACAATGAGAGATGAGATCATATTTTTTTTAAAAAATTGACATGGAATGTTACCACAAATTTACTACCAGATCATTTTACTACGAATTAACTACTTTTTTACTTAAACGAGACATAAATTAGATGCTAAAGGTTTAGGCGTAAAGTTGTTGTCGGAAACGACTCCTTTACGACCACATATTCATTTAGTCATAAAACAGAGGTTACTTTACCTTCTATTTACGACTAAAAGTTATGATCCCAATTTTACGTATACTTTACGACGATTTATGTTTTGGTTGTTATCTAGTCGTAATGTAGACGTAAAATTACAACTACAGCTTTGTCATCGCAACATGTGGTCGGTAAGCCCAAGTTTTCTTGTAATGTCCAGGGCCTACAACAAGTTGTTTTTGAACCAGGAGGAAGCTTGAGTGTTAGTAGAAGAAGTAACAACAATCTGGTTCAGAAAAAAAGTTTCACAAGCTTGATTTGCAAGGTTCATTCACTCCTGAAGAACAAGAGTTGAGGTCAAATCTTTTTGAAGGAAGAGAGGATGTTGTGATCCTAAGTAGCTGCAGTAAACATAGAGGAGGAACAGGAGGCAACACGTCCTTGATCAGATCCATAATTGATTAGAACTTGTTATTGTTACAGAGAAACAAAAGCTTGAAAGTGAATATGGGGATCACTGCACACGACCACCTGATTTTATGCAGCATAAAAACCAAGTTAAAATGTGTACTGGTTATTGTTACAGAGAAACTTGTTATTGTTACAGAGAAACAAAAGCTTGAAAGTGAATATGGGGATCACTGCACACGACCACCTGATTTTATGCAGCATAAAAACCAAGTTAAAATGTGTACTGGTCAAGATGCTTTGACAGACAACAGAAGTATTCTTCTACACCAACATAATGGGATAATTCAGACAATAGGACAAGCTGCAAAGTTTCTGCTTGGTTTTGGAGATCTAATTCTCCTATCCTATCAGGGAAAGCATAGAACACATGCTGAGATAGCCATGGTTGAGGCGTGTTTATGGAATAAGTGGAGAGAAGCTACTTCAGCAGCAGTTGGATATAAGTTAATAAAGAAGAAAGACTGGTTGCTCTAAGTTCTATTTGCCATGAGATACATCTAAGGCACGTGAGAGGCTTTCAACACTTTGTATTCAAGCCAGGAGAAGAGGTGTGTGTGTGTGTGCAGAAATAGGGACCAAAGCATTGTCAAAAGAGTATTGAATTTTGAGTTGATTGAGCAAGGTTCGAAGAGTTTGCTGAGGAATGGAAAAGGATTGCAATATTGGGTATTTGATCCAGGAGATGGTCATGGTTCTATTATCTTACAAGATTTGGATTTGAGGACAAATCATTTTGAAGGGATAGAGTATGGTACGATCTTGAGCAAGCTCAAACTCAAGATCTGGGATCCATGGTATGAGATAGCCAAAACACTGATCAAAGCTTGGTTGAATGGGCAGTTTCAAGGACTCACTGGTATGATCTATGAAGTATTAGACAGAGAGAAGGATGAGCTTCAACAATTAGATGGGCATACTAGCTTGATGGAGGACGCATTAGCTTCTCAACTGGACCAGTCACAATATCAATGGCCAAACACAGAGACAGACTATTCTACACTTAGCTTTTGGCGTGGAAAAGAGAAGAGGAGATAACCAGGAAGGAAAAGAAGTTAAACTATTGGTTTAATCTCTGATTGTTTAAGTAATGTTTTTACTTTGTACCAAGGGCAGATTCGTTTTGGATTAAACTAGGGTAAACCAATCTCAATTAGGATTAGAATTAGAGTAAGTCAATTTGGTTAAGGATTAGGGGATTTGACGTTTTCTTTTATTTACTTTTTAAGCATCACACTCCATAAATCAATCAACGTTTTTATCATCTTTTTTGTTTTGAGTTTTTTCAATTATGTTGGTGTGTAATATCCAGCCTTGGGTTCTCTGATTTGGTGTGTAATATCCAGACTAGAAGCCTTGGAGTATCAGGTACTTTTTAGGGGTGTATCATCACATATTCAACCTTTGTTGGAAGAGTTGATCTATTCTATAGAGAAAAGTTAAAGAAATTTTTGAGGCTGTTGAAAAGCTTATCATTGTTTTAAAAATTTAGATGAGTAAATTTGCTTAAACAATAAAGAGAAAAAGATTGTGAGGCTTAATCACCGTGGCGAGGCCCTTGTCTAGAATAGCAATACTCTATTGTGTTGTTTTGTTCCGGTTTCCACCGAACAATGTTGACACCAATTTGTTGCAGTACTAAGAAACATTCACATCTAAAAACTAAGAAGTTGTCTTGTCCTATCATCGACACTGGAATCTCCTTCATGATTTTCAAGCCACTACGCAACATATGTACAAAAAGGTAAAACTAAAACGGAAACCACAAAAGCTAAACCCTAAAACCAAACCCTAACTGATGAAACGACTACTTGATGGTCACAAATTTGTTAGTACCGTGCCTGGCCCAGTGGTTTCTGAGGTCAACCGGGTGGGTGAGGTCATAGCCTTCACCAGCAAGCCTCATAAGGAGCTTGACATAAGCACCATTGCTCATTTTCCTTCCAGCGAGACGAGTTCCAGGTCTTGTGGTACTCATAGGTAGTGGGAATGTCGATATGCTAATGGTACAGCACGAGGATTGCCAACCGCCCATGCCCCATTTGTAGCAAACCTTTGAAACGCCTGTACAGGAACAGACAGGAGGAGGAACCCCAGAAACATCGAAGCTTGAGATGTCTACAACGTTGATGTCAGGATTCTTCTTCTCACGCTTTGTTTCCGGGATGCTCAATGTCTTCTTTGGGGTTTTGGGTGCAGAGCGTTTCTTACTTTGTGGTTTTGGCTTCAGCGCTTTCGTGGACTTCTGCTCCATATCGTTTCTAGATTCTCTTGTAAGAGGAGGAAACATGCGAACTTGAGGCACCATGACAACTTCCGCAGGTTCTGGTTGAGGGGCTTGAGAAAGATCAATGCCTGTAGTTCTTGAAACAGGGAAATAGGAATGCAACCAATGAGGATTAGACGTAGGCAAGCCAGTGTCCTTGCTTGTGCTTGTAGCTTGTTGCAGCTGGTTTCGTGATGGATATGAATTCATCTCGGTAGCTAGCAGCAGGTTTCTACATTGATTTTCAAGAGCAGACATGATTAGCCAACACTCATAATCAAAACTGAAATTAAGATTATGAAGCAAAACAATGATCCACAAGCAAGAAAATTATCAAAGAGACATCCAATATCCTCAGCTTATTGCCTGATTTATAATTCAACACTCACAAGTCACAATCTATAATTCTCAGTCGGTTTAAAGAACAGAACAGATACGAATATGCACACAGACGTCTAGATATTTTCAAGAAATGACCAAACTAACTGTAACTGATAACTTTAACTCAATGCTCCAAAATTTGATGCAAGAAAGGTATTAGCAAAATTCTACAGAACCAAAGAGATAAGACACATCTAAGGCGTAAAAGAGAAGACTTTTTTTTATCTTTCTTGAATTGTTTGAGTGAAATTTGGCAAACCCAGAAGAGATAACGAAAGAAGAAGCAAGACCCATGAGCAGAAAGTCTTAACTCGCAATAGTCAACCATGAAAAATCAAAACTTGTTGGCTAGGGTTTCACAAGGAATCATACCTCGAAACAGAGTCGAATCCAAGAACAAGTGATCTTTAGGCAGACGCAAGCAAGAGAAATTGACGAAAGATACCAACGGAAACACTTTCGTTGCTACGCTCGCACTCCACTCTCTCTCTCTCTCTCTCTCTCTCGAATTGTAGGGCTCACCGATTTTCAAAACAATCCGCTTCTTATTCTCCCCACGCCAATTTTATGCGATATTAAAAATAACACTGGGAATATGATGAAACTAAGAAAATATTGGGCCCAAAGACAAAAAGAAACCTGGTGTAAACCCATATAATTCATGGAATGACCCTATGCATACAATTTTTGTTTATATAACTTAGAGCTGGCTAAATAAACCACATCAAAAAAATCCAAACCAACTCCAACCCTACATAAATACTGAATATATCTTATTTTACTGTATTTTAGATTATGATTTTAACCGAAACCCAACTCAAATGCATATTCCCAATAACTCAAAAAACTCAAAATTCCAAAAAGAAATTGACTGTGAATAAGTTTGTTTCAAAAGGTTAAATAATGTTAATTTTTTAAAAAAGTTTAAATAGTGATTTTTATTATAGAGTTGATAGTTATTAATTTCAGTTTGTTTACATTTCATTATGTATACTTCTTGTTTGTCCAAAACTCTGATTTTTCATGTATAATTTAAAGATGAGTCTCGTCTGGTTGATAGACAACCCACCCAAAATAATTTTGAAAGACAATAATATTGTTTGAAAAAGTCACATACACAAATCTATACTATATAAAAGTTCAAGATATAAGTCATCGAAAGCGTCCACATATGATGTAAGCATTATTTCTTAATACTAGATTTTGACCCGCGCTTAAAAGCGCAGAAATTTTTTATGATTAAAAATTTAGATAATTGGGATTTTGTCTTAATTTAAAGAATGTTTTGGTATAAAATCAGTTCACCAAAATTTGTGGTGATGATTGTTTTTCATTAGATTTTAGTTTCAATTTTTATTTTTAGATTTTGTTTTAGATTTTGAGTTTTTGGGTTTTAATTTTTAAGTTTCTATTTTTGGTTTCAGCTTTTGGTTGAGTTTTTAATTTTTAGATCCGCTGAGTTAGTTTGAACTGATATTACCTAAATTTTTTATGATTAAAAATTTATATAATTGGGGTTTTGTCTTAATTTAAAGAATGTTTTGGTATAAAATCAGTTCACCAAAATTTGAGGTGATTATTGTTTTCCATTAGTTTTTAGTTTCAATTTTTATTTTTAGATTTTGATTTTTTGGGTTTTAATTTTTAAGTTTCTATTTTTGATTTCATCTTTTGGTTTGAGTTTTTAATTTTTAGATTCGCTGAGTTAGTTTGAACTGATATTACCAACAAATAAATCTCAATTAATCGAACATGTAATTTAAAACTGAAAAGATGACAAAATAATTTTCTAAAAATTTTGAAATAGTTTATTTTGTAATAAAAAAAAAGCAAAAATATAATTCAAGCGCAGAAATTTTTTATGATTAAAAATTTATGTAATTGGGTTTTATCTTAATTTAAAGAATATTTTGGGATAAAATCAGTTCACCAAAATTTGTGGTGATAGTTGTTTTCCATTAATTTTTAGTTTCAGTTTTTATTCATAGATTTTGTTTTAAATTTTGGTTTTTGGTTTTTAGTTTTTAAGTTTCTATTTTTGATTTTCGGCTTTTGGTTTGGGTTTTTAATTTTTAGACCTGCTAGTTTGAACTGATATTACCAACAAAGAAATCTCAATTAATCGAACATGTAATTTAAAACTGAAAAGATGACAAAATAATTTTATAAAATTTTGAAATAGTTTATTTTGTAATAAAAAAAGCAAAAAATATAACCTGCGTTTTCAGCTTTTGGTTTTGGATTTTAGTTTTTAGATTTGGTTTTTGATTTTGCTTTACATTTTTTTAAATCTGTAAATTATAGAAAAATAAAACAATAAATTATTTAAAAGTTACCATTAAAATTTATCAAAATAGAGTGATTGTTATTTAAAATAAAATTATTAACTTGTTTTAAAGTACATGATTTAAATAAGTGATTAATAATAGATAATTTTGTTTTGTTGAAAATATTACATATTTTTGGGACATGTTTTAAAGTACATGATTTAAATAAGTGATTAATAATAGATAATTTTGTTTTGTTGAAAATATTAAATATTTTTGGGCCTGAAAATAGTAATTGATTTTTGATCCATTAAGGTAAAGTTTTTCTTTAATACTAAGCCCAAAAACCAAACAATTAAATGTCATAAAAACAAAAGTAAGCTCAAAACTCTATTCCATCAATAACTGTCGGTTTAATTTAAGTAATGCGGTTCAATCAATTATATAACTTGTATTATTTGTAACACTCTAGATTTTGACCCGCGCTTAAAAGCGCGAAATTTTTTTATGATTAAAATTTATATAATTGAGTTTTGTCTTAATTTAAAGAATGTTTTGGTATAAAATTAGTTTACCAAAATTTGTGGTGATAGTTGTTTTTCATTAGTTTTTAGTTTCAATTTTTATTTTTAGATTTTATTTTAAATTTTGGTTTTTGGTTTTTAATTTTTAAGTTTATATTTTTAATTTTCAGCTTTTGGTTTAATTTTTTAATTTTTAGACCCGCTGAGTTAGTTTGAACTGATATTACCAACACACAAATCTCAATTAATCTAACATATAATTTAAAACTGAAAAGATGATAAAATAATTTTCTAAAAATTTTGAAATACATTATTTTGTAAATAAAAAAAAAATATATATATATATATATATAACCTGCGTTTTCAGCTTTTGGTTTTGGATTTTAGTTTTTAGATTTGGTTTTTGGTTTTGCTTTACATTTTTTTTAAAATCTGTAAATTATTTAAGAAAAAATAAAACAATAAATTATTTAAAAGTTACCATTAAAATTTATCAAGATGGAGTGATTGTTATTTAAAATAAAAAAAATATTAACATGTTTTAAAGTACATGATTTAAATAAGTGATTAATAATAGATAATTTTGTTTTGTTGAAAATATTAAATATTTTTGGGCCTGAAAATAGTAATTGATTTTTGATCCATTAAGGTGGAAAGTTTATTTAATGTTTTTTGGAGTTTTTCTTTAATACTAAGCCCAAAAACCAAACAATTAAATGTCATAAAAACAAAGTAAGCCCAAAACTCTATTCCATAAATAACTGTCGGTTTAATTTAAGTAATGTGGTTCAATCAACTATATAACTTGTATTATTTGTAACACTCTAGAAAAGGTACAAATTTAAATGACAACTTGTATCAGTAGATAAAAAGAATGACTTTATTTTAATAGAATAGATAATGACAAATCATCATTCTAATTGATTATTTTTTTAAATGTCAAAGTTTCCAAAAAAATTATTTATTTCAAAATTAAATAGGATCCAATTTCATATATGGTAAATTAACAAAACTGAAAACATTATAAATAAATTAAATGAATATATGTAATAATATTTCGAATTTAACATAAAAATAACAAATGGAAAATTTTCCAAAAAAGTTATTAACTTCAAAATAAAATAGGAATAAATATGATAAATGATAAATTAAAATAAGTAAAAAAAATTATAAATTAAATTAAATTTATAACTTAATATTTCAAATTTAACGTAAAAATAACAAATGGCAAAAGTTTCCAAAAGTTATTGATTTCAAAATAAAATAGGAATCAACATCATAGATGGTAAATTAACAAAAGCAAAAACATTAGAAATAAATTAAATAAATATCTGTAATAATAATTCGAATTTAACCTAAAATTACAAGATACTGATTAATTTTAAAACATATAAAACTTAAACAACTATAATTTTATAAATTTAAAACACTTGTTCAAATATATACTATATAAAATTGAAATTATAACCCATTATAAGTATCCACATGATAATTAAGAACCACTAGTTATATTGTCACAAGTCGTCATTTTAATTATATATATATATATATATATTATATGTCAATACTTTCAAACACTAAATCGAAAATCAAAAACTGATATCGTAAATAAATCAGTATCAAATATGGTAAACTTACAAATCACTGAAAATATTCAAAAATAATATATACTGTAGATAAGTTGATGGTACAAATCACTGAGAATATCCCTTATATATTAATCCTGAAGCATTCATAAATGCACAACCTTGGAGAGCATGCTTACGTGTCAAGCTCACAGAGCTTCTCATCTTTAATTTTTTAATGAATCAACTTTGCTAGGAATGAAATAATGTAACATTTAATTTCTTGCATTTAGGACTATAATATATAGACATTTTTAAGGGACCAACTCTACTAGGTATAAAACAATATATTTTATTTCCTTAAATAAAAACTACGGAATTACCTAATATGATTAACATATATATGTAATTGATGATTATGAATAATACATATTTTTGTATACTCTCTCTTTTTTGTTTAATTTTAAATTATTAAAACAAATTAAACAATCACATTTAAATATATCATAAAAAATTAATTTTTTTCTTATAGGCTATATTTTTAATTTTTTAAAACGACCATAAATAACTAAAAATTGTAAAATCCCACATTGAAAATTTTATGATCAATGGTTTAACTTTGTTTTTTTTCTAAAGAAGATACAAATTATCATAAATCGTACGAATATGAAGTATCATTAGTAGATATTCATACTATAAAAATGTTATTTTAAAAATTTCAGTGAAAAGGTTTGAGGTTAATAGATACAAATTATAGTATTCGAAAGATTTTTGTAGTTTGTTTATTTGCTTCTTTTTTAATATCTTTTAGTTTGTTTAGATAATTTAACTAATTTTAAATTAGATTTATTAATAGTTTAAATATTTTAATTTTTTTTGTCAGCTTCTAATGTTTAACAAATATTTTTTGGGATGATTTCAGATATTGGTTACAATCCAATCCAAACTGAATTGAGAAGATCAAATCGAATCTAATCCGATAATTAGTAAAATTCAAATAAGATTTATGAGAATAATACCAAAATCTGAAAATACGTGTCAATCAAACTAAAACCGCCGAAGTCTCAACCGTCCAGATCTATGATGATTTAAGATACCAACATTTGTATTCATCATTTTATAAT